TCTTCTGCTGGCTTAGCCGATTCTGTTTTGACTACTTCTGCCTTCTTGACAACTTCATCTTTAGTGTCCTTCCTGGCTTTGTGTCCGCGGAATGAAGCTTGGATTTTTGTGGCAGCTTTGGCAACTTCAGGGTCTTCCAGGTCAATATCAATCTCTTCATCAACTTCCTGTTTGACTGCTGTCTCATAGCTATAGCTCTGTTCACTATAAAATTCTTCTGTTACTTTTCGTGTCGTTGGTGTAGATGTTCGTTGTTTACTTTTATAACTGACAGTAGATTCCGATTCAGTTGAATACTTTGATCGGCTAGGTGACCGTTCATCAAGACTTGTCTGTTTACTGCGTCTCTTTTGTCTTCCATGAGTAACATCATCATCCCCTTCAGAATCAATATCAGCTTCAGCTGCAAATATAGTTATTGATTATAAAAAAAATTTCTATCAAATTCACTGACAGTTACATCAGAGAATAATGTTTAAAATCTAATTCCACACAAACGTAATATTTCTCATTCTAACAGATAGAGGGCATGGTTTACATAACACTAATTTGAACAAATGTACGATAACAAAATTTTTTGTATAGCTTAATACTGTAGGTTTAGGTGGGTGAATATCTACGATGCTTTCATAATGGTGGTTGGTATATATTGTTATGTGTATGTGTTTTTTTACAAAGACTTTATTTACATCTTTAGTTGCATGCATGACCCCTAAAAGGTTGCACATCCTGGTATTTCTGGGTGTATAATTACCCCCTAGCATCAGTAATTCCCAATATTATATCCAGATTTTTGCTATGTTTTCGAGCATAACGACCACTTTTTATTTGCCCCCCTTCCCTGGATGTATGAGAGGTCATGCAATGGGCCTATTTTTTTGTTTAACCCGATAAGTGTGAATATTTCAGTGTATAAAATCTTTTCCAGCATTTTTTGGATTTAAAAAAAACACACACATTCACCTGAATGAATTATTAGTTGCTGTTTATGACATAAAACAAAGAGAGAAATATGTGTGTTGTTTTTACCTTCAGTAACGATGAGTTCGGCAGTTGACGAAGCCTTTCCAGAGGCACTCTTGGCAAAGATTTTATAAAATCCAGCATCGCTCTGATTTACACTGCGAATAACAAGAGTTTGTCTACCTCCATCTTTCTTTTCAAGTGAGATACGCTCAGTTTGTGTTACTTGTATGGCATCATCTCCTTTGAACCTAAATTAAAATTATACAACCAGCAAAGTAAGAATCGACACAGAGCTATTCATGCATAACAGTGGTTCCACTCGTTAATCCCTTTATAACTCCCGAAATGTCACACATAAAGTATTACATTTATGATCAACTTTATCGCCTAACATTACATTTATAAGGGGAAGGAAAAAACTTTTCCTCTCAAGGTCTTTGGTTTTTGACTTGGTAGTGCTTACTAAACCTTCTTTACAAACAGCTATTTGCTGGAATTTGCAATATTTCTGTTTCGTGCATTGCATTTTGGAGAGAACTGTAATGTCAGATTACTAACAAGCAGTTAACTTTAAACACCAATTTGGACACGTGTTGTATCCTAATTTGGAGTCAATTTTTATCAGCTTCCATAAAATAAACCTCAAATTTTTCCATATTTGCTTAACAATTTTAATAAAGGCCAATATGGATATGGCGAATTTGTTGAGAAGGTGTTATTAAACTGTGATGTAGGTGGTATTGCCAAGTGAATTAGGTTCAAATTCTTGTCATTTCTTCCTCCAAAAATATCAAGAAAAAACCTTATGATATCTTGTATAAACATGTGGGGCGTAACACATCGATGGTTTGCGGTTTTCATGGATTTTTGTTCATCGTTTACATACTGGCCACCTTAAACTTACCAGGAAGTAGTTGGAGCTGGTGTTCCATTAACAGCGACATCAAAGTAAGCGTTCTGTCCTTCGGGAACACGCTGGGTTTTTAGCGGGATTTGGAATGATGGCCTCACATAGCTATAAGTTTCATCTTCCTCAGTGGCTGTTGAGAGATCAACAGTATATAATTAGTAATCTTCATGAATTTTGGATATTCACATTATCAGTTTTGCTCTTAAATATACATGTAGGTGACAAATGCACTTGTCAATGTTAACAGTTTTTTTTACAGAAGTGCTTCTAATAAAGGAAATACACTGCAGACACTTCTATTGCAGATGCCACAACAAAAGAATAATGAGATGAGCTTCCAGGGCTTGAACTGAAGGAATTGCCTTGATGACCACGGAGTTACTTTCAAATTGGTACCCTTCAATATTTTCTATGTTATTCCTATCATGCCAAAGCAATTTTTAATTTTGCCTTGACAATGGGTGCTCACTCAATTCTGAACATTCAACTCTGAACCCTGTAAAGTACTTCAATACAGGCAGGCATCAAATCAAGTTTATTGACAGCTGTCTACTTTGTCAAGTTTCTTGTGACAAATATCAACAATCCAGTGACATTTTCAAGATGCTGCGTTTGGCATTTACATTTGGACAATAACTGACACAGAATTTCATTTCATTTTAACATTTTACATTCTACACACAGGCTGTTAAGAAGAAATAACAGCCTGCACATGACAAGGTTTTCATTACAGTTACTAAAATCTGTTTCTTTGTTTTTTTTATCAATGATTTTTATTCAATAATCCCTCAAAATGGTTCCAGCAACAGCACCCATGTTCAAAGAGAAATCTACATGGTTTAAAACACTTTCTATTGTAAAGAAATATGTAATAGTTATTGCAGACTGTCACAGACATTTACTAACAAGTCTGATTTTGAAGTAGACTAAGTATTCTTTACTAGACAAACATAATGCAATGTTGTTTATGGCAGCTCTTGAGTGCTTAGATTTTGGTTGGTTTTCGGTTTATAACCTGAACATAGACGAAAAAATGGAATGTCAGAAAGTAGTTAAATACTATCTAGAACTCAAGTTTCAGAAATTGAAATTTTTATAACTTCCTTTGCACTATTTCTAGACATTCCATTTAAATTCCAGAACACACAAGTGTTGATTTACCATTCTGAACACATATTTTGTATAATTACCATAAGTTAAAACATTTTCACCATACCACAAAACTCTGGTGCATAATGGTATTTGCTAAGGACAATTAAAGCCAATAAACACTTACATAGCAAGTTTACCTTACAGAAATGGACATATGTTAGGTTTTACATGATGATATGAGATCTATCATAAATAATTTGAGTTTGTGAAACAAATTTGTTACTTCTGCAACTCTCCGGGATACTTCAAAATATTGAAGCAATGATTATGCTACCTCTCAAACTATCAAATGATAAAAATGCCTGTTAATGCAAAGTCAACAACTTCTAGAATGTTCATATCATCAATATCTGTGATGGGGAAGATTACTTATCATTTACATAACTTTACACCTATCAAAGAAGTCCAATACGATTGGAATCTAGGCTAATTGTTAAACGTTTCCTTGGCTGGCCCACATACCTGAATGTAGAAAGATGAGCTTTGAATTTTTCCTTTTTAATTACATGTCTTACATTCATTGAAGGGACATTCTCAAATTCACTTTATTTGGAATCATAGTGATAGTATAGGCATTGTTTACTTGTTTACATTTTGGGCTAGATCCGGTTATTTGCACCAGGATAAAACAAACACAATGTTTGTGAATTTGTTATTAAATATGTATGTATGTATCCCTGTTAACCTTTTTACCACGACTTCCTCGCTCAAATTTTTCTGCAATCTATTCTAATTTTCTTCAAAATTTCGAGAGTTTTCAGTTTTTACTCAAAAAAATTTGACTATTTTTGAAAAATTTTACTATTTTTGTCCTAATCTTCTCAAGGAAAATGCAGACTATAAACAAGACCATTTTGAGAATTTGTGATGAAAATAGGGAACTGGTGGTGAAAAGGTTAAGGAAACAACTCATGGGTAATTTTCTCATCAAGATCAAGAGCTAGTGCCGATAAGTGAGCGATATTTGTTATTAGACATTCACATGCTGGTTGACAAAAAATGTGAACACATGATGTCACATAACTTATGGCATGACATTAGTTTGGCCTCCAATGTGTTGAAGGAATATTTAAAACTTGGTTAATATTTAAACCTAATACTGATCCAAAATAACCTTTGTAGTACAAAATGAGAAAACACATCATGATTTGTCAGGTCACATAGGTATATAGCATGCAAATAGTTAAAAATATATTATTAAATTTTCTAGGTGTCCATAACCAGCTGTCTAGGTGCTGTTCACATGTGAATAATCAATATAAACTAACATTGTACCCAAAGTATATTTTGGATCTGTATTTCATGGATAAACATTTTGGGCAAAATATACACCTGCTGACCTATTTAATATAACAGTTAAGTTCTTAACTCCATTATTCACCAATGTAGCAAACATTATTTAGTAATAATTGAATACTAGTAGTATAAACGAATCCAATTCAATGTAGACAATGCTTCCACAACTCAGTACAAAGAAAATGCTAATAACACTAGATACTAGTTTGTCAAGAGTTTAGAAGTTCAGAGTGTTCAGCATTCAAAGTTGAATAAAGGAATTCATCCATGGCATTGTTCAGATGGAATTCACAGGTTGTTATTGTCGGATAATGGCACTGACTAAGATTTATATCGGTTTTCTTTCCATGCATTCATGAAAGGCGGTGAACTGAATATCCAACTTGCCAAACTTGTGTACAGACATTAAATAATTAAGAAGGAACATTCAACAATAAATTCACAAAGTTATAACTTCAGGACCATTTTTCCCCAATATAACAATGGCTAGAACAAATAAGACTTGTCACCCCAATTTCTTTCCGCAATAATAAGATTGGTTGTTGGAATGGTGGTATGGGTGGTTGAAGGGAGGTTGTGACAAATTGTAGTGAATTCTAGGTCTACATTTTCTCACTATGGGTGGTGGGAAATCTTAAATTCCATTTTTTTTCTAAATTTTATTTTGCAAAATAAAGCACAATGTAATAGTTAGTTGACAAATTGGAAGGCCACGTAAATTTTACACCAAACATTTTTAGTAACATGTGTATGTATTAAAACTTAAGATTTATGTGGACAAGACTAGGTAACCTGTGATGTCCAGGTCCCTTGACTATATCAGGGCTAGGAAGACTGTAAAATCTTTTACCAGTGCACAATCCCTCTATCTGATAGAGGGACTGTGACCAGTGTGAGATTCTATTATAGTACAAAGCGCAAATGGGGTCCTAATGGCGTGGGATTATTTCTGCTAGAGTCCCAAAGCTACAATAAATGCTTTTGATCAACTTTCACTTTTCATAAGTCAGTATCTATTATTTATCCATTAAAAATCTGAACAGGCCTGCATGTGAAAGTATATAGGCAGCATTGTGTAGAAAGAGTTCAAAGGTGCCAGATGGGTGTCAAAGTCTGTTAGTAAGATTGATCGATTTTGACCAAGTATTGTGTCCAGTTTGTACTCTTTTATTATGGTATAGTGTGTACATAACACAGAGACAAATATTGAATTAAAGGCATACAGGTCATGCTAGTGATTCTACATTATAATATCACAGGACCTACTTAAATGCCATCAATTCTTTATATAGCCAGTCAACCACCCATCCATGCCACTCTCTTTTTTTTCATAACACATTCACTGGTTTTACAGATGCAATGAAAAGATTCAAGTAGCTCATCAAAAACATCCATGCCTTTTTTTATATATGTTCTAAGAGTTACATAGTGGGGTGTGTACCTGTCAATGCAGAGTGATCCCTAATCTGTTGTATGCAACTGTCTGTAAGACTATTGTAAACCTTTTATTTTTCAATGCTAAAACTGTTCACAATTTCAAAATATTATGATATTTATGGTCGCTTTGTTTCATTGTTACATAGTGGGGTGTGTACCTGTCAATGCAGAGTGATCTCTAATCTGTTCTATGCAACTGTCTGTAAGACTATCGTAAACCTTTTATTTTTCAATGCTAAAACTGTTCACAATTTCAAAATATTATGATATTTATGGTCGCTTTGTTTCATTGTTACATAGTGGGGTGTGTACCTGTCAATGCAGAGTGATCCCTAATCTGTTGTATGCAACTTTGTAGGACTATCGTAAACCTTTTATTTTTCAATGCTAAAACTGTTCAAAATTTCAAGATTTGTATGGTCGCTTTGTTTCATTGTTACATAGTGGGGTGTGTACCTGTCAATGCAGAGTGATCTCTAATCTGTTGTATGCAACTCTTTGTAAGACTATTGTAAACCTTTTATTTTTCAATGCTAAAACTGTTCAAAATTTCAAGATTTTATGATATTTATGGTCGCTTTGTTTCATTGTTACATAGTGGGGTGTGTACCTGTCAATGCAGAGTGATCTCTAATCTGTTCTATGCAACTCTTTGTAGGACTATTGTAAACCTTTTATTTTTCAATGCTAAAACTGTTCAAAATTTAAAAATATTATGATATTTATGGTCGCTTTGTTTCATTGTTACATAGTGGGGTGTGTACCTGTCAATGCTGAGTGGTTTCTAATCTGTTGTATGCAACTCTTTGTAAGACTATCGTAAACCTTTTATTTTTCAATGCTAAAACTGTTCACAATTTCAAAATGTTATGATATTTGCAGAGACAAAATTTCCTCATTGTCCTAGGACACCAAACAAATTTTCACTGCTCTAAAGTCATGAAAATTTGTACCTGATTTCCAATAATAGCTGATCTAGATTGAACACGGCTTGTTATTAAGAGAGATCAGTTGTTTTTGTTTGGCCCAATTCTAGAGACAACTAAGTTCTCCTGACTCTTGACAAACCCTGTCATAAACTTGTAACTCATAATACAAAAGTCGGTTCAATAAAAATATATGTTTATGGAGTTTGAGTCAAATTAATATTTTTCACAACTACGCAGGAGTCGTCATGCAACGTATGCACAAGATATATGGGTCTCATAAACAAAGATGGTGACTTTGACTGTTGCGCAGATCAAGGAGTACAAACTAAAACGTTACCATACTTTAATTAGGTATTTTTGTAGGTAATTGGAAGGTATCGAATGAGTCACTGGCAGTAATTAGTGCAAGTCGCGCCCAGGTCAAACCTCTTTTTGCATTAGACACAAATGTCCAACATGTGTGCGACGACCACCTATTAACTATTATATATAAAGAATTGTTCACAAATATATTTTTTTAGGATCTCACAAAGGATATTTTATTCTGTATTTGATTTGGGTCCCATATTAATCAACTTGGAAACCATTGGACTGCATTTAATCTATATACCCCATTACTATAGCATTATAAATTTCATACAATAAAGGGTAGATAAGATAAGGGCCTGTGACTATGGTAATATGCGATTAAGATCACATTATAATCAGAAGAGAAATGATGAGATACATGTAAACTTCTACTATATAAACACATTATAACGTTCAGCCTGTTGCCATCTTACATGTTTATACCTTTTGAATTAAATTGTATGATCACCCTCAGGATATAATATTTTCTAAATTCATTTTGTACAACATTATTGTCTTAGCAATTCTTCAAAAGAAATACATATATGCCGTTTTACATTTTTGAAAATAACCAATTTTTGACAATTACCTCCATCTCAGAAATATAAAAAATAATAACGGCATTCATATACTGGCACCAACAAAACATGTGAGGTCAGAACAGGTTTGTCATCAATATTTGCGCTTACCATGTTCAAAAATTGTGCAAATTGTTTCCACTTATACAGATTCAAGATATATATTAAACAGACTTACATTCTTCAATGAAAACATCACACGTTGTCTGTGTTTCTCCATCAATATTTCTTGCTTTGCAGACATATTTTCCACTGTCAGACAGTGTGACATCATCAATCACCAGTGAACACAGCCCATACTGGCATTTGATCTTATAATGTTCGTCATGTGTGATCTCAATACCATTCTTAAACCACATGAAGATTGGTTCAGGAGTTCCTTGTGCAGTACATGCCAGTCGCACCGTATCCCCCTCACCAGCAACTTTCTTGCGAAGTGGTAAACTGAATTTTGGTGCCTGAGTCAATTTTGCTCTAGGGTAGATAGGAGCTGAAAGACTGCGTAGGTCTTCAACACTTGATTCCCTGAATTAAAAGATGGGAATAAATATTGTCATTAACTATTTATTGTACATTTACTTAGGAGGAAACAATACCAGTATTGATTGATAACACAGCCACTCACTCAGAAGTCAAAACCTGCTACAAACTCAAACTCAATAAATTGATGGTACCAAAGATTCATCAGAATCGGAAAGCAACTTGATTAATTTTATTTGATTGAAAATTGATTGAATTCTTTCCTTTTTGAATAAGCCAATGCATTACATGTTTTGAAGATATTTGGTCAGAAAAATTGTTGACACATGCAACTTATACATGTAGGATTTCCATTGTAATTATTCAGTAAACATAGACATCTAAATTTTGTGCCAGTACATTAATAAACTTTGCTGATGCTAACAATTTTAGAACAAAGAGACAATATATCCAGATGTAACACAAAGTGGGCGGTAATAAACAAAAAGTTACTTTTTTTTTCAAGTTTTCAATCAAGTATAGTAGCTAGTCTATTGACTGGGTAATCTGAATGCTCACATATCAATTGAAATTACTATTTCAATTGCACATGCAGATGCACAATGCAGCCTGACAAGATGTGCTGTTTCTTGGATACTAGTAGGTGGAAATTCACAAATTTATACTTGATAATTATCCAAAGAATGTTGTTTTTGTGTTTATTTTATTTATATTCTACAGAAGACATATGTAGACATTCATAGCTCCACCAGGGTATTGCCCTCATTGGATAAACTATTATTTTGTAAGGGTGGTAGCATATTCATTTTTCAAATTGCAAAGAAGACATTTATCTCCAATTTGCCAAAACGTCCTATTGTGGAACAGCATAACCCCTCTGAAATGAATGTTGCATCTTCCATTGACTGAATTACTTTCATGACAGGCATTAATGTCAAGTACAATTTGAGTAGTTGTCTGATTCTATGTGACGTCAAGACTGCAACTTAAAACTGTCACAGTTGACAATGTGAATACAGGTCAAGGGGAAGATTTCATCAATCAATTATACTCACAAAGTTAACAGACATAACCCAAACAATGAGTGAACTCATCTCAAGTTCATTGGAATACAATACAGTTTGTTTTTTTTGTTCTGTTTTACAAGAATGTTTGTCACCAAACTAATTTTCTTGGCCATCAGTGCAATGCCCCTCCCCCTCCCCCTCCTAAGGAAACTTCCTGATCAAACAATTTTTCTCACCAAATTTCACAAATAATTTAACAAAATACATGGGAGATTTTGTGCACATATTGATTTGAGGATCAGATTACAAGACAGCATGTATAGAGTGGTCCATGTAAGGTTTGGAGGATGAATTAATAACATACTTGAATTAGTTAAACAGACTGCCAACAGTGCTCATTTCATTGTCTAACATTACATGTGCATATTTAGTTAGCTTATGCCAGACTTGGGTTATGTAGGAATTTAAACTCCCTAGGTAAATGAATATGTGGTCAAAGCATACTGATTTATATTTTGAATTCTTTTGACTTTATTTTTGTAAATACTGCTCACTTCTTTTCATGTCTGAACTAATACCCAACCAGACATTACGTAATACTTAATTTAAACACCAATAAAAAAAAATCTATTTCTGAGAAAACTATTTTAAACCAATCAAATGAAAATGAGTCACGAATGACAGATACATGTACATGTAGGGGATCAAACAATGCTCTCATCAAGAAATTATTTTGTAAAACTTTTAATATTTTATTATTATTTTTTTGTTACTGCTAATAATCAATAAAACATGGGTTCATACAACATTTTGACATATGAATAATAACATTCTTGACAAATACTTGAATTAGGTCACAGCAAAGTAAATAATTTTAATAATATGCTTACCTGGACAAGGTGGTGTCACTTTCAGCACCAAGACCTGCGAATTTGGATTGATAATGATAATTATTGGAATGTTGAATATTAATTCCCACATTAGTTTCATACATGTAGTTAGGGGAACGATATGAAGAGCTGGGAGTTGGATAGTGAGATGCTGCATGTGGAGTGTTATAATTTGGTAGATAACGTTGCATTATTTCCTTAATTGCTTCCCGTTTTAATGCTCTGTCCCGTTCCCATTCTTCCAAGTGGCTACCGCTAACTGGATAAGCACTGCCATGTGAGTGGCGTTCATCGATGACTAATCCGTGATGGTAATCTCCCGATAAAGATCTAGCCGGACTTGAACTTCTACTTGGTGTACTACTATGGCCATATCTGTTGACAGATAGGTAGTCCATTCCTACATCACCATTGCGAACACTGTTGCTAAAATTGTCAAATCCATTGTAAGGCTCCCTAACTGGGCTACGAGTTCTCCGATCCATTGACCTACTCCCAATGCTACCACTTCTCTCACGACTCAAACTGCGAGTGCGATTTTCAAACCTATCCACACTCAAGTGGTCCATACGAGAGTTCCTTGATTGGCTCCTGCTTTCCTTCTCTGCATTCCCAATTTGGATTTCATAGCCCCTATTTACAAATTCGTTGCAAGCATTGTACTGTTCTTGTGATAAGTAACTTCTATTGTCTAAATAACTTCTATGCGAGTCACTTGGAGTGTGATCACGACTAGGTCTAACTCCATGACTTGTTCCACTATACACAGTGGGTGCAGACAGTCCTGTGCTGGTAGAGCTGTAGGTGGGTACACGCCAGTTTGCTGTAGCTGGTCGGTGTCCTCTACAAGTGCTACAACGTACAGCATCACTCATTGCTACATTCAAAGCATGGCTACTAGCATCGAGTACAGCAACAGGTTTAAATCAATACATTGAAGTGTAAGCCTGAGCTATGCTCAACTTGATAAATAAGCATAACTTTACACTGCTTCAACAATGACAGGCTTCCAATGGTCCAGCCCCTCATGAATATTCATGAGTATACATGAATGAGTATATCTATTTAACATAGCCAAGTCAACAAGCTGATTATACAGAGAACCAAAAAGAAAGGGGAACAATGGATTGACAAAGAAGACTGTCAAAAGAATTGTTGATTATACAAAGATATTTTATCTGACACAATTTACAGGTAACATGGAAAGAAAAGAAATCCGAGCAGCAGAACATTTTATTGTTCAGATAAAGTACTTGCACTTGAAAAAGTGATAATTGAAAACCATGTCACAAAAATGTCACCAACATATTTCCCCTCCTCTTCATGCAAGTTCATTTATTTAAATTTTGGGCAACCACTTTCAGTGAAAATACTGAAGATTTATTTTCAATCCACATGTAGTTTTGGTTGCTACAGTATTAATTAGTGTATCTTTATTCCATTTTCCACCTAAATAGAAATGCCATAATTTTTCCCCCTATACAGCTGAAATAAAGAAAATCTTATTATAGTATTTTGTGCTTGAAACCTTTAAATTATTAACTTATTTGTAAAATTGAAATGCTTTGTTTTTAAGTTTAACATTCCAAAGTGAGATGCATCCTTGACCTGTCAGTATTGATTGCAAATATTTTGTTTCAAACTGTTGACATTTAGAGGATAACTTCCTATAAGCAGACCATTTATCTATTGCACTTGAATGACTTTTTTAATTTCCTGTCTTAAAAATCATACAATTTTATAATGATTAATGAAATTATTCTTAGATTTTGAACTGGTCTCATAAATCGACAAATATAAAATTTTAAAAGTTATAATTCATCAAAAAAAAGAAAAAGAAATTAAAATGTTAATTAAAAGGTTAAATTATCATTTATTCAGATTTGCTTCTCTCCTAATCTCAATTCATATTGTGATTCATGAAGTGAACAAAACGATTGTTTTGTCGAGTAACAGGCAAGTCTTTATGTTTGTTAATGGTTATCATAGCAACTGAATTGGCAGGGAAGAGTTGAAACAAAGCTGCTGTGCAAGAAAGAGAAATCTGAAAGACTAATACACAGTATGTTGTTATACCATAGGAACACTGCCTATGCATTATATGTCTATTTTAACAGGATATTTATTTTAAACAAACAAATTTTGAAGTATTATTTCTACAGAGAATATTTTCAAAATACAAATGTTTTATTTAAAAAGTAATTAGGTCTGAATGCAAGTGAAACTAGAATGGGTGTGGTGCCTATAACCCTTTAAAGATTGCAGCCAGTTCAGTGAGTTTGTTCAGTCTAGCATCTTCGTGATTATTCTCCTATTTTCAGCTTATTAAATACATTTCATATTTTTTACTTTTATGCCTGAGACTTGGTAAAATGTGATTGTTTCAGTGGCGGATGGCAAGAAAGTTAAGAAAGAGACGTGGTTGCAACCTGTATTTATGGTGGATTCTGCATGGCATCTATGTTATATGTTTCCTCTGCTTATAAGTGATTTCAAGAGGATAAATGAAAGAATCAACAGAAACTGTAAAAAGAGTGAAGTAGGCTGTTCATTAAACAAGAGACACTACTCCACAGAATCAAGTTGAAGTGACACCCAAGACAATATACAGTAACAGCTATTTATTGTTAAGAACACTACACTAAAAATATCCAATGTCAAGAGGTCAGTGAACCATGGGGCAGCCAGACAACTGTATTTTGGAAAAAAGTTAACAAGTAAATGAAGTGGGGTGGTAACGCTCTCATCTCTGTGCCAAATATCAGTTGATACAGCATGTGTGAAGAAGACACAACTGTCATCCATTGTTCAGAAAATTTGCATATTCAGATTAGGGGTTTGTTATACTTATCAGCCAATCAACATCACTGTCATCCATTGTTCAGAAAATTTGCATATTCAGATTAGGGGTTTGTTATACTTATCAGCCAATCAACATCACTGTCATCCATTGTTTGGAAAATTTGCATATTCAGATTAGGGGTTTGTTATACTTATCAGCCAATCAACATCACTGTCATCCATTGTTTGGAAAATTTGCATATTCAGATTAGGGGTTTGTTATACGTATCAGCCAATCAACATCACTGTCATCCATTGTTCAGAAAATTTGCATATTCAGATTAGGGGTTTGTTATACTTATCAGCCAATCAACATCACTGTCATCCATTGTTTGGAAAATTTGCATATTCAGA